CCAATTCCCAATCAATAATCAGGTCGCCGTTGCCGTATTGACTAATTGCCTGAGATTGCCAATGTTTCGACACCGCGTTGAAGTCCTCCCCGACCACTATAGGGTCTTCGGGCACCCATTGTAGTACGGGCTCTAAGGTCCCACTTGGCCCGGGTACACGGTATACGTTCACAAAAGTGATGCCCGATACTTGTACAAAGCAATAGTGCGAAGTTTTTCTAGTGAAGCCCCTGAATATTTGCGAGGCTATAAGATCTTTACGGGTAAAAGTGATTGCTCGTGTGTAAAGATTATGAGTCATATGGAAACATAGTTACTTGTCACTTGTTATATCTGATAGGTGTGTATGGAGGATGTGTTCGACTGATTTTGATACTGTCAGAAGAGCGAAAATATGCTATCTTGTATACATCACTATGACCCGTATCAAAGCCTTAGTTCCATCTCGTGATTAACTATCCACAGCAATAATACTACTTATCCAACGCTCATGAATCCATGGCTCATGAGCGGCCATCGCTACTACTCCGGCTCGTGTATATCCTCTGCTTGCCAGTCGCATCACTGCCCCTATAATCGCAGCTCAGTACCCTAATCGAGCACTCCTAAATAGCTGATCCAGGGGAGACCATACTGGTTTCTTTTAGGGCGCTCGAGGTACGCCTATATACTCGATGCTTGTTGGTAAAACTACCAGGTTCTTGGATTCGAATCCGAAGGGAAAGGTGATCAGTAGAATGTATTGTATTGTATCTATCTATCCGAAGTTTTCTGTATGGCAGCTATTGCTAAGAAATATATTGAATGTGCACGGGCCTCCACAAACCCTTACTCGCTCTTGCCTAGTTTACAATTATCATATCATACACCCCATTACAATCACATGCCTATAGCTAATTCCCACCAAATTACCATGGTGTTAATGGTTGGGACAATGCTATTACATATACTCGATGCTATTACATATACGCTGAGCGGTATCTGACCTCTCGCGGCTAGTGCTTGTATTCCAGGGACTTATGGTGTCACCACTCAGATCGCTTCCATGTATAGTTTTACCTGGGCGCGGAAGCGCCCGAAGCTTGGTGACGAACAGCTGCTGTGCATGCGGGCAGCGCTAGAAGTAGATTCGCACCTTCGGTGCCGAGCCCGTTATTTGCTGATGCTATCTCAATATCGTGGTCGACCTACTGTTTCCCCGATAGGTTTATGGCTGTTGAAGCCCGAATGATTTTTCGATGTACATTTTCCCTCTTTCTGCAGTATACATGGTTCTTGTACGATGACAACTTGCACTCCCCCGTCTCGCACCTGTTGTAACGATATATCCATATCTTCCCCGCCCTTTCCCATATTCACTTGGTGAAATAGAAGGACGTTTTGTTGCTCGTTTTTATAATGAGTTGAAGGTGTATTCCTTATGAATTTTCCATTGTTGCTTCCGGGGTGCTAATGACCTCTACGGCCTTACCCTTGTTATCTGATGCAGCTAGCGCTGCGTGGAAGTCTCTATGACCACACTCTCGAATAACTTATAGCTCTGCTGGCATACGAATGACAGCTGCGCTATTCTACCTTCTAGGACAAACCATCCAGTTGAGGTCTGGTGACTCATGTAGTTCTGCATAATTAGAGCATTTAGGTACTTTAACAGTACATTCATTTGTTTCATGTATTCCAGTGCAGCGGCCATATCACTGTCCTTTGGTACATGCTCTTGTTGCGTGAAAGCTCCAGCAGCGTTGGCATTGCTCTATGGGACGTTTTCGCATAAGAGGCATCGCTGGTCCACTTTTATCAAATAGTCTAAACTTGATGGATTCCGGTTTTTGTTTGAAGTGAATGTCCCAGTTTTGCTTCACCTTTGCTAGCCTGCACGGGTTTTACACCACATATAGACTGACACCCGCCTTCCACCATTTCCTTCGTCACAGGTATGCTAGCCTCTAGTGTCCTTATATAGAGTGGCATATGTGGGACTATGACCGAAGTCTAATCTGAAGCTGCCTGGATAGTGATATTTTCTTGTTGGAAGGACTGCCCAATTTCAAGAATTGTTTCTCTGAGCGCATCTGAAACGCATTCAATTGCCAAGCCTAATCTAACTTGGTGGATGTTTTTGATGGCTGAAATAGCTACTCCAGCTCGCTCAGTGATTAATTTCTTGATTGTGACTAGTGATAGCTTTCGCTAGTCATGATATTGTCCTAGTCAAAGAAAGAGTCGTTTATCTTCTTTCCGAGGCTCCTGTCCAGCCGGACTTATCTGCACAACCGGTCTTGGTTTTACTAGATTGGCTGGCGGGTCTGGGAGCTTGGATGCTTTCTGAGCTACTATGGCCCACGAAGAAGCAGTCTCCTTGGGCTTTCTTGGCATCTTATGGAGAAGTTTGTCGCTAGGTTTTATCGCCCTAGGTACAGAGGTTTTTAACTGCGTTCTTCCCGAGGATGGCTTCTGGACTTGGAGAATCGCAACATTGGCGTTACCTATCGCGAACGCTGTCACGATGGGTGAAATATGTTCAATTAAAGGTGTGGACTTAGTCGCGCCTTCGGTTCCTGTCTTGGATTTCGCCAAGGCTTCTATATTTTGCAGTAAATTCTGAGCTAGGCTCATTCGCTGCTTTCTTTGGAGTTTTGATTGCTCCATGGCGGCAGCAATCCCAAAAAGGCTCGGGTGTAAATGGTCGCCTGGGTCAATTGATGCCGAGGACGACGGCTGGCTGTGTGCAGCCATGATGCTGCTTGATTATATGGATTTTAGAAACTAGGATAAATGTACTGATGTGCGTGTATGGGATAGATGGAGGGCTTCTGTGATGATGGCAAATTGCCAGATGATGATGATGATAATCCGGGATAGGTCAGATAATGATAATTCATCGATTTAGATGTATTTGCATTTATTTTCGAATTTGATTCGAATGGGATCTTTCTGGCTATCATAGGTGTGCAAAGAATACTCGGTCATTAGACTGGCACTATTGGAAGGTGAAAATTTCGTCTCTGCTGGCTTAAGTGCATATTGAGTAGTAGAGCTATCAAGACTAACTGCGATGCTTAGCTAGAGAATTCTAAACGGTGGTGCTTCCATCTTTAGACAGCCGATATGCATCACATGCGGAATAATGGTCGTGTGTCAGTCGAAAATATAGTTACAGGTGAGACAACGGGTAGAAAAATGATTACCTATAGTAACACACCCTCAAATATCCACCGGGACCTTAGCAGGGCCCAAAGCAGTACTAAATTTCAGATAAGAAGTGAGCACATTAGTCCCAACTCTTATCTGTATCGAAGGAAAGTGCCAGGAATGATTAAATCAAAATGTCAATGTGGATATCCATCTCAAAACCTCAAAGATACGGTCTTGACGTGTCCTCAGTAGGCAAGAGGAAGAGGCGAGGTGCCTCGAGAGGTAAAAGAAAGGTCATATACGGCAATGGTGAACAGCCCAGATGATATGGAGAGAATCACAGAACGGATTGTGGCAAAAGACAGGATTGAACAATTCCAGCCCGCAGTAGAAGAAGAAATCGCATGGGATGGGATGATGAGACTATGTGGACAATGATAGGAAAAAATTCACATTGTATGAACAGTGTAAACGCAATTTCTGTAGGAAATCTCAGTCAAACTAATAGACATGAAGCAGACATATTTTGGGGTTTTTACTGAATTAGATTCCTCCTGCTTTTTTTTTATTTTTTATAACATTTGGTCTTAAGCTAACGCTATCTTTTCCACATTGGGTCAAGGACCGGTGGAGCCGGCAAGGATCACTGCGTACAGGCCCAACTCATTCCAACCGCATGAACCTCTACTGATATTGTAGAAGTTAACAGCAAAACTAAAATCAAAAACATAAATCAAAAACTGAAATCAAATTTGGAAGAAATACTGTTTGGTCCGGATCCCGCGCTTCTCGCCCGTTCCCTTTCCTGCCACATCTTCCACGTGACTTTTTCTAATCTCCGCTGAGAGCGAAAGACTAGTTCGCAGATACCCTGAATTCAGCTGGTATCCTGCCATGTATTTTGAAGCTATCTGTAGACTTCACCGAGGGTTGCTGTACCCTCAAACTTCTTCTTCGGATTCCAGGATTCCGAAACCTGATCCCTCGGCCATCGAGACATCCTTCGTTGAGGCCATCGTTGCCTCTTCGGCCCTTTTGGCTGCAGCCCTAAATTGAGCCACTTTCGCGAACTCCCCTTGCTGGATCTGGCGGATCCGCGCGAGCTGCTCTTTTGTCACCGGTCCGGACTTGCTGGGTCTGGCTAAGCAGGTCCGGGAATCCGATCGGTGAGGTCCCCCACAGTTTCGACACCGGGTGAGGGCCTTGCACTCTGATTCTGAGTGCATATTAGATCCGCAATTCCAGCAAGCTGGAGCGCGGGAACAGCCACGGGTGGCGTGAAATTCAAGACACCGTTTGCATTGTTCGATTTTGCGACGAGGTCGGAAGAGCTTTGCAGCTCCAGAGTCGTCGAAAATGCGGAATCCAGGTCGAGGAGCGGATTCTCGTGGAAAGAGCGCTTGCCAATTTGAGTAGGGCGCCCCTGGTTTGCTAGTCCCATGTGGACGAACCAGAAAGGGAACCAACTGGGTCACTCGCGTGACTTCGTCGGCAACCATCCTTGCCGTCACGGCGATTGGGCCAGCAAGAGTTCGAATTGTCTCCGGGACGGTGGCAATTTGCATGGCAACTAGATTTGATGCTGGTTCCATTTTGATTCCAGATTCGCTCCGTGATGTGGAGGAGATTCCTCCTTTGTGGGTATTATAGCCACATATACCTGCATGGACCTACAGGGTACCTGAACGGGCTAAATGAAATCAGATCAGTTTTGTGTCAGCTTTTTAAAATTATGCAAAAAAAAAAAACTAGACAGGTCTGAAAACCTTGGCGAAACCACCAGCACTGCCAAATCTTTGCCTAGTGAGGACCGCTGCCAGCTATTTTGGATCGCTTATACCACCGCATTCACAAACAATACAAAAATGGCGGATGATGAGCTATTGATGAATTTTGAGATTGGTGAACTCCCAATCATACCCAAATTAAAATTCCAAGGTGGTAGGTGGAAAGACAGATTAATTGCTAAGAAAGGAGCTGCAAAGCGCGCTACTCAAGGAAAAGAACGTCAAAACGTGCCAGAAAATAAATCTCAAACTGAAACGCATGTAGATGGAACAACGAATGATTATATTGGTCCTGGAACTGCTCCCAACCCACCTAAACGTCAAAGAATAGAAAACCGAGGCGCAAAAGACTCTATTAATGCTACTCCAGAAATCACAAATAATTCATTAGTTCAAGCTACATCAAGGCCAGTAGAAGCAAATCAAGTATCTCTTTCGAACGAGTTTCCTCAAAACAGTGTCAAACCTACAACAAGCCGCTCAAATCATGAAGCACGAAATTCTTCTTTCCATCAGGATACAAGGTCTTCTTTTGTGGCCGGAAAACTTCCCCCTGGAAGTATAAAGATTAGTGCTGTGGGAGGAAATCAGACAAATTCAAAGAAAATAGTATTCGGGGATACTCCAGAGAATTTAAACTCTGGGAAAGCTGATGCACATCGAGAATTAAGTACAAAATTAAAGTCAGGGCAGATAATCTCATCTCTATTCTCGTTTAATCCGGCTGCAATTTCAAAAGATGAAGATTCCAGAATAGAAGCACAAAATACAAAACCTTCAAATGCGCCCCTAACGGCGGAATTAGAAACTTTTACAGCTCTTGGCCTATCATCGCGATTAGCATCACATTTATTTACAAAGCTCAGTATGAAGGCACCCACTGCAATCCAGAAGGCAGCTATACCTATAATGATTAAGGAAGATAATGATGCATTTATCCAAGCGGAGACAGGATCTGGAAAAACATTAGCTTATTTGTTACCCATAGTCCAGCGAATAATAGCTATGAGCGATGATATGCATCAAGTACATCGAGATTCGGGATTGTTTGCAATAGTTCTTGCTCCAACACGAGAATTATGCAAACAAATAGCAACTGTCCTAGAGAAGATTCTTAGGTGTGCTCCGTGGATTGTTGGCACAACGGTCATTGGAGGTGAGAGTAAGCAGTCAGAGAAGGCTAGGTTACGGAAAGGTGTAAATATCCTTATCGCTACACCTGGCCGTCTGGCAGACCATTTAGATAATACTGAAGTCCTTAAAGTCGAGACAGTGAGGTGGGTTGTCTTGGACGAAGGGGATCGATTAATGGAACTAGGGTTTGAAGATGAAATTAAGAAAATTATGGCCAAAATTGATGAAAGAAGCCGGGTCCAAGCCAAAATAAATGGCATACGCTGCAAGTCTTTGCCCCAACGACGAGTGGCTATTCTGTGTTCAGCAACTATGAAGATGAATGTTCAAAGGCTAGGCGAAATAAGTCTCAAAGATGCTATACATATAGCAGCGGATTCTAGTGATGAGAACATTCAAAATAGTAAGAAAGACCAAAAAATTGAAAATTCTAAAGCTTTTTCCGCTCCTGCACAGCTTAAACAGGCATACGGAGTAGTCCCAGCAAAATTACGGCTTGTCACTCTAACAGCTGTTCTCAAACGAGCATTTGCGAGACGGGGATCTGTCATGAAAGCCATAGTGTTTATGTCGTGCGCTGACTCAGTGGACTTCCACTTTTCTATCTTTAGTCGCCCTGTAGAACCGTCTTCAGATGATAAGGAAGATTCTTCCTCAACGCCCATTATAGTGAAGACAGAAATGACCAAGGATACTATCGCTTATAGTAGTGCGCTCTCCAGCAGGACTAACCCTGTTATCATACATCGTCTTCATGGCTCACTAGCTCAAAATGTCCGAACTGCTACTCTCAAGGCTTTCACAGAGTCTACAGAGCCATGCATAATAATTTGCACAGACGTTGCTTCACGCGGCCTGGATATGCCAAATGTCGATTATGTGATTGAATACGATCCTCCGTTCAGCTCTGACGATCACCTTCATCGTGTTGGTCGAACTGCACGAGCTGGCAAAGACGGTCGGGCTCTTATATTTTTGTTGCCTGGTGAGGAAGAGGAGTATATTTCCATACTGGCATCTGGATACCAAGATGGTAGAAAGGCATTATCACACAACACAGCAGAAAATCTTCTCATGAAAGGCTTTGGTGGAGTGGGAAACCAGTGGCAGGAACGTGCCACTGAATTGCAGCTGGAAATTGAGCGGTGGACCCAGGATTCCCCAAAATATCTTGAAATGGCACGCAGGGGTTTTCAGAGCCACATTCGTGCTTATGCTACTCACGTGGCAAGTGAAAGGCATATTTTTAATATGCAAACACTTCATCTCGGACATCTTGCCAAAGCCTTTGCCTTGAGAGACAAGCCTGGTAGTATCAAGGTACCAGGTCTCCGACCATCAAAGACTACAAAGGCAGATCGTAGTGTGGCGTCGCGCAAGGCGAGAAAGGGCGAAGAGGAGAAGGCGCCTGAAGGAGAAAGAATCTGGAAACAAAAGAAGTTGGATTTAAATCTGCCTAATTTAGAGTCTAACGATTCTGTGAAGCGTATGAAGAGGAAAATAAAGGAGCACTCTTCTGCTATAAACGAATTTAATATCGGATGAACCTTGGGGTTAAAAATATATTTGATTCTGAGACTATTTTCCCTTAAGTATTCTTACCCAACACTCATTTGCACGAACATATTTACGTTGTGCGACGCTCAACTTATCCAAGCCCTACTTGCATATCAGTTACTTCTGACTTTATGATATTTATTGAGTAAAATATTTTCTAGATATCAGCTTATGACTGCCCCATACTCTTGTAAATGGCCGTTAGGTTCCCAAGACCGTATTACCAGTTGAAGGTAGAATTATAAAATAAATTAAATGATCTTTGCTGTCTCGGGTTCATCTTGTGAGTCTGGATGAGTAGAGTCTCGTTCAACTTCACAGTCTGTGATATTGCCAATGTCGTCATCTAAACCTAGCTCGTCGTTCATGAGTAGGTCATACTCTTCTGAGCTAGAAGCACTTGGCTTTGAAACTCCGTCAACATCATCATGACTCTCTCCTCGATGGCCAATAATAACACTTCCAGTAACCAATAGTAAAGCACCGATGAGCCACGTTGGCGATAGCTTTTCAGAAAAGATCACCCATCCAAGCATGCCAGTAACCATGAAATTTGATGAAGTATTTAGGATGGATACCTGGGTTGTTGAAGTTCCACGGGCCAATGCCTTAGTAAAGAGCGTCCACATAATGCCATTAAAGATTAGATTCAGTGCGAAAAAAACCTGACGTAGGGTTAGTTGCGACGATCTGGGGTAAGTAAAAAGGTATTATCTGGGAAAAAGTGCTAAGTTAAGTTTAAGAAGTCTGATAAACTTAGTTTTAGACCACATTTTGACTAGCTGAGACCGACTTGTAATTTCTTCTGATTGACTTCATTGTAGGGCGAATCGCAAACGTACCACTCGTACAAACGCCTCAACAAGGCTAGGGAAACTTTCTAGGCTGATCCAGCTCGCTAACACAGTGGCCAGGTTTGAAGTAAGTGCTGTCGTTGTGCTAGAATAGGGATTAATAGATGGTAGTTGAAATCATGTAATCCGGTCAACGTTACAGTTTCGCAAAGGCACCATTCAGAGCTGCACATATGCCGCTAGCTACAGACAACACGATCCAATCCAAATTTTTGTGCTCTTGACCCATCGTGGGAGAGTTAGTTGACAAAAAGAAGGAATCAAAGAGGTAATGATCCAATCTTTGGCTCGGGCGTTGATGGGCTAGACTTACCCCTTATGGTCCAAACGACTTTGCCCGGCTCACAGGAAAATACGGGCCGATCCATCGCTTAAACTCTTAGTCTGACCATATCGAACTCTTAGAAAACGAATTTGGTCCTAGAATAAACTAGATTACAGTCTATTTTTCCTCATTGCTCAGCCATGATCTCTCAACTATTAATTTTAAATCGAAATTCCCTTTCGCCAGGTAGGGATTAAACTAGAAATTTATCGTTCACGTGGGCACAAGCTATGCTTTTTATCAAACTTGATTGTGAAATTCTGAAGATTCACGTCACAACCTTATTGTTTCAGTTGGGAGCGCTTCTGGTACTGTATACAATCCTATGAGATATGGATTATTCAGTTGTTGGTACTCATTATTGTCATCCGATTCCATACGGTAAACGAAACACTACGAAATTGTACATTATATCCATGTAGCTGATATCTATTGTTACCCATGCTCACATGGACACCACTATCCATCAACTCCGATTAAAGCTTCACACAGTAGAGCTGGAGAGCAATTCATCAAATCCAGTCTACCTCATCATTGTAAAGATTCTCACAGCAACAATTGAAGGATCAGTCTTTCTAGGCACCTTCACTGCTTGGGTCTTTATGTCTCTCCAGGCCTCTTGCTATTGCAACTAACGATCTTAACTTTATCAGCTTGTACGGTCTGGCTGGAATTTTCCATCTTGAAAGTAACATCTTTTATCAAGAAGGTCCAGACTTCATCACAGAACCGGTAGGTGTCAAGGTGCCCCTAGTAGTGTATAAGCAGTCCAACTCCCTCAGCATCTCTTGAAAGCCAACCTTGAATGTCAGCCGAGCCTTGACTTTGTCAGCTAAAACTTCAGTGATGCTACGATCAAAATTTGCCAGAATTTTCATGGCTAATTGAGGCTCGATTCGACGATCGCTGATCAGGTCGTCCAGCGTATCTGTGAGTGCCATGCCGATGCTAGTTTTCTTACAATCAGTAAAGGTCTTAGGATAACCTGCTAGATAAGCAATACCTGCTACGGCGATAGAGCTCATAAAATGACTGCCCATTCGTTGCCATTTTTTATACTGCACGACTGGAGGACGTCGTCGGTTACTAGGGAGCGGGTCCCATGGTCTCTTCTCCACGTGGCTGACTAAGCGACGCTAAATGAAAACATGGGGGGACCCGTGCGCCTTTGAAGATTGCAGGCAAAGCTCTACATACTCCCAGCATTCAAGAGTGACATCCTTCAGCGAAGTCGGTCTGATCTAGTTCATCATTTAAAATGAGCCTCACATACGGGCTCGGTGGAGCGACAGTAGCACTGTCAGTGATCGGAGCTTGTAAGAGAATATTAACTCGGACTAGATTTATAGACTGACACTTCTAGATCTTCTCTTCACAGGCGATGGAGAAGCATTTAATGTATAAATGAATACATCTACTTTTAAAAGCACCTAAGTTAACAGTACGCACAGGTTGGACAATTCTTAGAGGATGTATCACCATATGCATGGGCTGATTTAGGAATTGGGCTATGTATAGGACTATCTGTAGTAGGAGCAGCATGGTACGATTTAATTTTCTAAATTTCAAAACAAAGCTGACACGGATAGGGGAATATTAATTACAGGCTCCTCTATCATCGGAGGTGGAGTACGTGCCCCAAGGATTCGAACGAAGAACTTGATCTCGATTATTTTCTGCGAGGTGGTTGCGATTTACGGAGTTATCATGTCTATAGTCTTTTCAGCCAAACTAAATGTAATGGAACGAAGCTCGATCTATTCAGCCAGCAACTACTATACGGGATACGCTTTATTCTGGGCTGGCCTGACCGTTGGAATGTGTAATTTGATCTGTGGAATATCGGTTGGTATCAATGGTAGTGGAGCTGCCCTAGCAGACGCTGCGGACCCAAGCCTGTATGTCCAAAACATCTATGAACCATGTAGATTTGACTAACACATCGCGCAGGTTTGTTAAGATTCTGGTAATAGAAATTTTCAGCTCTGTCCTCGGTCTCTTTGGCTTAATCATCGGATTATTAGTTGCCGGAAAAGCGGCAGACTTTTCATGATCTACAGATTATAATCATCGAAAGACGTTCTGATTGGGGCAGAGAAGTCTTTGAAGAAATAATTATTGTAGCATTAAGGCGTTGAGGGCGGGAGTGTAATAAAAATATCTACACTGCTGACTACTAAGGTACATCGTATTTATGAAATAGTTATCATCCCAATTCGGTAATTGTTTATTCTAGGATCCCCAAATTTCTACTTTATCGTTCTTCTCTTATTGTATGAAACATTGCAACCCTAACAACCTTTTGGGTATGACTAGCCGATTTCTAAGTCACATTGATTATATCAAATTTAATTACACAAATAATATGAATGTGCATCAAACAAAAAACTTCACATGGGCCAACTATTGGTCACAATATTTGAGGATGAGCCACAATTTATTCTAACATATGTTCACTAATGATCTATTTCACCAGAAATTAAGTTATTAAAAAATTGAAAGGATACTTCAAATATTTTCAGAAATTACAGAGAAATTATTAATTAAAAGATACATTGCCTCTAGAACGTGCATACTGGAGACAATGGGCGTCAACATATATATACACATAATATTATACGAAAAATATATTGCTATGAAATGACTTCATCTTTAAAAACTAGGATCTGTAACTCCAAATAATTAAGGTCTTCCATCAAAAACTTTGCTTTAATGAGAGTATGGGCTCGATTTTGTGTCTGATTTTGGGGCCAATAGGCAAATTAGATTTATTCTATACCTTGAACTGGTAATTATTGCCACCCAGACTTTTGTAAACGTATACAGATTTTTTTTGGCTGTTCTATCTAGGTCCTACAGACATCCATGAGGACAGGAAGCCGCTTTATTGTGGAAAAAAGCCTTACTATAAAACCCTATGACCTGCCCCCAATACACGCCCTAGATCATCATTGAGAGCGCTCATTATTTTCTATCATAAATACAGGATAACGATTCATTTAGACGGCTGGTACAGTAGTGCTGAAAGTAGATTCAATAACTTAAAGGGTCAAATTAGCGTATATTGATACTGTGGTCTTAGCAATATCTAAAACTTCTGCTAACTCGCCCATACTAATGTACCAGTGCTAAGCTCATCTACGCACTAGTGTGGAGCTACGGTGCGGACTAGATACAGCTGTACTCTACACAATGTTATTCGCCCTACATCGATATTTTCTTCGCGCATGTAAGTGAGAGCGTGACAAGCGACCATTTTCCTGTCTTCGGCTTGGTAACTAGTAAAAGTCATGCAGAGGCAGAATGTCAAGGCTCACTGCGAGTCTCGAAAGAAAAGCTTCCGGACTTCGTACGAGCAGTATCTCAGTGGATCTCAGCCCCGCAATCCTTGGTGTCGACTAGCGATGTCGAGAGATACGCAGAAGCGATTTGTCAGGCCTTAACAGATGGATTGAAAGCGTTCGGAAAGAGACGAAGTCAAGGAAGCGGTAGGTCTGCGCCCTAGTGGACTCCAAAGTGCAAAGAGGCTCATCTTAACTATCGCTCGGCATATACCGAGGAAGAACGGACTACCTACGCCAAAATCCTGAGGTCTACAGTAGCATCAGCCAAGAGAGAGCACTGGAAGAAGCGGAAAGAAACGATGCGGTCGTGCTCGGACGTCTACAAGATGATGAGGTGGGCGGCCCCGAAACACCAAAAAATCCCGCCACCCCTTCGGCATGATACGAAGCTAGTGTCAGACCAGGCGGAACGAGCGATGATTTTGCGCGATTTACTACTGGACCGTCACTCGGAAACAGACGATTTTCCACCTTGCACAAGGCCAGCAGAGCCTCGGATTCCATGGTCTGAGGAGATATCAGAGCTGGAAGCTCAGTCATGTACTATTGGAGGAGGTAATACCTGTCCTGGTGCAGACGGAATCTCAGTAGAATTGCTGGCCGCATCCTGGAGCAGTATTGGGAGATATATAACACAACTCTTTCAAGCATGCCTGAGACTTGGTTATCATCCGGCATGCTTCAAGCTGGCGGAAGTCATATTCCTACTCAAGAGCGGTCGTGATTTATCAACGGCTAAAGGATGGAGACCAATTGCACTTCTCTCATGTCTAGGCAAGGGGCTAAAAAGAATCTTTGCGAAAAGGATGTCAGCATTAGCCATCACTTTAGACGTTGTAGGCCACCAGCAGTTTGGCGCACTACCAAAACGATCGGAAAATGATCTGGTATCTTCAGTAGTGCACGATGTCGAGGAGGCTCGATTTCAAGGATGGGCATCCACCTTTATTACGATGGATGTACAAGGAGCATTCGACGCTGTCCTACACAACTGGCTACTATGGCGAATGCAGGCACAAGGCTGGCCAGACTCGGTACTACGATGGATATCCTCCCTTCTCAAAGGGAGGAGGGTACAGATACGATATCCGGGAGGCGTGACTAGCCCGAGATCTTTGAGGCTAGGGGTGCCACAGGGATCGCCGATCTCTCCGTTACTCTTCCTTTTATACATGGCCGAGCCCATGCGAAACGGGAACTGCAGAGCACGATTTAGCTATGCGGACGATATTGGGATTCTCGGCATCGGTCGCTCGTTAGCTGAGTCTGCGATGGCGGCAAAAGGTGAGGTCGACGATCTTCTGAAATGGGCTGAAGAGAACGTGGTTCCGTTCGACCTCGACAAGTCTGAGGTGATCCAATTCAAAGGGAGAAATCAGGGCGAATCGGTAGGAATACAAGTTGGCGGTAGGCTAGTCCAGCCGGCGGAGCATATTCTCTGGCTTGGAATTCACCTTGATCCGCGTCTCACCTTCAAGCACCATGTAGCGACCTGGTGCGGGAAGGCCCTCAAAGCTGCCCAGCACATGCGTCGACTTAACCCACTTCGACGAGGAGCGGCCCTAGGTCCTCTGGTTACCGCCATCGACTCATGTATCGTACCAATAGCAACATTTGGAGCGGATGTGTGGCGGCCCGGACTAACACGGCCAACGAAGAAAGGTACCTCAACGCCATAGACTACACACCTATGTAGTCTGATCGACAAAACCATTCGACTAGCCCTACGTGCCGCGTTACCAGTCTGGAAGACCTCGCCTAATTTCCTTCTTCATAGGGAAGGGGGCATCCCACCGGCAAATATTCTCCTCGAAGGAATTCGACTCCGTCTAGCAGCCAGGATCCAGTCGCTCGATGACCGGCGCCCTCTCCGGAACCGCGCAAGCGAGTGCCCTAACGCTGGCTCGCAGAAGTACAAGCTAAGGAAGAGAGTCAGGCGCCAACCAGAAACCCAGATGTCGCGCCTACAGCGTGATTTTCGACAGCTCCCGGAGTCATCCGAAGAGGCAGAAGGGCTGGCAGGCCCAGTGTACATATCAAGTCTTGGAACGAAAGAAGAGGGAGTCAAAGTACACTACAACTGGGCTAGCATGGTCTCTCCCTCTGACATATGCGCCTACTCTGATGGGTCATCTGAAGGCCATGGACGATCTTCGTGGGGATATGTCCTCCAACGCGGAGGACAAATATTCGCACAAGGTCACGGTCGTCTACATGGCGGTGAAGTTTATGATGCAGAAATTGCAGGAGCAGTAGTAGCACTTCAGGAAGCTATGCGCGCTCGAAAGAACCGTGAGAGAATCTTCGTTCTTCTTGACAATCAGGCAGCTGTACTTGCGTTTCGGACGGGGAAGTCATCATCGTCGCTGCAGATAACCCGCGTCTTTCACAAGTTCGCTTCAGAAGCGAACGTGACAGTGAGGTGGGTGCCTGGACACTCTAAAGTTAGTGGCAACGAAGAAGCGGACGTAGAAGCCCGAGCCGGTCTTCAGCTGCTGCCAGATAGACAGACGCAGCCAGTGCAGACAACGCAGGCATATATACGCCGTATGATGCACAATCGCCGACAGAAACTAGTGGAAGACTGGTGGAATAAGTCGGTTCCGGACAGATATTGAGACCTGGACTTACAGATGCGACGTCGGAAACCACCAGAACTAGGTCTTTCTCGACGATTACTCCATAAGCTCCTGGCAGCAAGATCAGGACACGGAGACTTTGCGGATTATTACCGCCGCCTGAACCACGAAGACGCGAAACTGGAATGCGTCCGTGGACAAAGGACAACGCCAACTCATTTTGTCCGATGCAGGAAGAATGCTGCTATAATGCGCAGGTTGAGAAGATCCATGACCGTGGAGGACTATACCAACCAACTCCTTGGACCAGAGGGTCTCGAGAAGTTCATAGAATTTGCAAGGAATACTGGCTGCTTTGGGAGCATGGATGCAGACCCGCCCTCAGCTGGATGCGAGGGCTGAAGCGATTATTTTTTCAGGACGAGAGAAATGACTGAAGGGGGCACAGAATGAGAAATACTATCACCGCTCCTACATCTTAATTTGCTTTATTTCAGTTGGTTTTGTTTGCTATTTCTTTTAGTTTTTGGTTGTTTGTAATCAGAGTCACACAGTGACAGTGTGGTGGGAACGAGTAGGGCATAGCTATTTAGGATAATCCTTACCGATCCCACCAGTCCCGTGCCATAAGGCGCTGGGCTGGTGCCTGGGACCTCAAAATCAATCGATCAATCTTCGCGCAAGGAAACCGGCTGCTTCGGGGGCCCACCTACGGATCCGTCTCCAGCTCTCAGCGGAGACGGTGGTAACTAGTCATAGCACAATGCATGGCAGGTAGGAAAACGAGACGAGAAGTGTCGTTTTTCTAACCACAAACTGGATTACTGGGCTTGGAACTTTAGTTATAGGAGTTAACGGAAGTTTCTATTTTTCTTTCTTTTAACTAGCTACTGGTTGTGTAGTGGTTCACGCGGTGAAACCGAGGTGGGCATGCAGAAAGCATGATCTCGGCCGTGTACACCGGTTTTTGACTCCTAGGATCAGGGTTAAACCCTCATTGTCTATTGGAAAAGATTGAAAAAACAGTATTTATCAAAACAAGTGAATTTTGGTGGTTTAATGTCTACTTTTAGTAGTCCTTCATAGTCTTAGACTCAGTAGGGACTTAAATTTAATTCTATTCTATTCTA